CCAAATGTTCACGAGGGGCAAAGCACACAGGTTTCAGCTTGCGAAGGACAACAGCGAGCGCATGAAGCATCTCAGGAAACCCGCGTGTTGAAACAGAAAAAGACAAGAACAAAAATAAATAAAGCAAGAAAGCAAGAAAGGAGGAAAGAAAGGAAAGAATGGAAAGGAAAGAAAGAAAGACCTAAAGAAAGGTCCCCTTTGTAGGGTCAGTTGATCCAACTGACCCACCCCCTCCGCGCCTGTCGTAGACCCACTTGTGCCTGGCAAAAACGTGCCGGGCTCGCAAAAACTCTCGCCAGGGACCCCTTTTGCTGTTAACCAAAAGACCAACATGAAAACACGGAGAACACCCAGGCCTTTGCAAGAGGCAGGTTGGCAAAAGCCTTGTATTGCTCGGGGTTGACTGGCAGCTTGCCAAACCAAAAACCGATGAAGGTCCAAGCGGCAGCTCTTTGACGCCCAGGTGTTTGGCTCAACCCGCGGAATTTGCTTCCCTATGCCCAGCTTCAGGAAGATCTTCTTGTTTGGGCATAGAAAGGGAGGCCACTTAGAGATTCCATGACCAAAAACTCGTCATCCCAATCCCCAACAAACCTACAGCAACGAACGCTCAGGCTCTCCGTTGCCTCCAGTGTTTCCAGTACCCGGACTTGGAGTGCCTCCAGCACCTGGGCTGAAGGAAAAAACAAAAAAGGGTAAAATGGCACTGGGGGACGTAGATTAGTGTCCTAATCACACAGAAGTTCCTTCTAAACTTCCTTGGCCTACTGAAACCACTGCTACTGCTACCACTTCTACTACCGCCGACCACTGCTACCACTACTACTACTACTACTACTACTACTACTACTACTACTACTACTACTACTACTACTACTGCTACTACTACTACTACTACTAAGCGACGTCGTTCTTTGGGCGGCTGCCAAACCTGCAAACCTTGGGCCCCTGCCGGATGCTTCACAACTGGAGCCCACGCAGAGCTCGTAGCGGACCAGCCAGTTGTCTTTCGTGCCCACCTTTGCAAAAAAAAATCGCTCGGGGGCTCGCAACCAGGAAACTAAGAGGGTAGAGGATCTGGACAACATCTTCAGAACTGATGCAATGAGCTGCGAGGACAAAAAAGTCGAAATACACACATCAGTCATCATCAGACCCAAGAGGTTGTTTGCAACGAGTGCCCCTGAAACTGTGCTTTGTCCGAATGGGTGAGTGAGAATCCAGCTGCAAGACTTCTCGCCGCATCAACCCCTTAGAATCAGGGGCTGGAGATCAGGAGCCTTCTGTGATCAATTTTTGTGTGGGTCTCGTTTGCGGGTACCTGTTTTGGGTGGTTAGGTCCTCCAGTAGCAAGGTTAGAATAAGTTGGTACCAGATATTTTTTCTGTAGTCCATTTTCGTAGGGGAGCCCTCCCCCCCAAAGGCTTCAAGGGCGCCACTGGGGAACCTAGGTGGTTTTCAAGGGGAGAATGCCCCAAATCTGCCCACCGCACGCAAGACTTCACAGGCACGTGTGGCACTGCATAAGGGTTCAAATGAGAGAAGGGTTGCGTGAAGCAGAGCAAGTGACCAATCTGTCACCGTCATGAACCAGGGTTTTATTTGATTACCCAATTTGCTAAAAGGTGGAGCCAGGAAATGGTTGAGACTTTACTGAGTTGTTTGACTTACCCTCCCACCAGCCCACATGGAAGTGCACAGACCCCTGTAGAAAGACTACTTTCCTCTTGGAAAGGGCCGAAACTTGCACAAACCCATGTTAGTTGGTGGGAGGGTAAGTGCTGTTTTGCTCGAATGGCCCTACACAGAATAAGTAAGAGACAGTACCGCCAAAAGCTGATGGTCCAGACCGCCAGGCCAATACCAGGCCAACAGGGAGCCATTTGAAACCGGTATGGGAGGACTACAGAACCGACACTTTGTGGTTGGATGTTGCAGAAAAAACCCTCATGACATGTGTTCCCTGTCTTTCGGTTTCCTTTGGGGTGAAAGTAGAGAGCAAATATCCTTTGTGCGGGTAAGCAAACGGGACAACCCACGCCATCGCTTTCACCCAACTGTACGGCGATACCTGAGATCCATGAGGCATTGGGCGCCAAAACAAGTGGGGCCCCAAAGATGTGGTCGCTTTGCAGATTCCCTTGAAACCAGCCTGACAAGTACCTGGAGTCTCCATGACCCCTAGCAAAAAGGGGTCATAACTCATAACCCTTAATTTTGGGGTAATGCCCAACCATTTTCAAAGGGTCATGGACACTCCAGGACTTTTTGCTATCTGTTCAACTGACGGGATCTTCCGTGCGACTCGCTCTCCAAACTTCCGCCGACCCTTCCGAGACGCCAGAAAAATCGCGGCGAAACGGCCATGCGCCGAGCGGCATAGGCCACGGCTCGACCGTTGGAGGCCACCACCTGATCCGCGAAGGGCAGCTTCCTGGGCGTTCTCACGTCCCGTGGCCCGGGCTCTGAGAGGGCTGATGGCTGTACCTGGAGTCTCCTT